GCCATGGGCTAGTCATTGGAGGGTGGAATCCATGGAGTGTTGACAAGTTGCCACCACGGCATTCTGGTCCGAGGCGAGGGAGGATGAGGGCTGAGTTGCCATGCAGATGGATTCATCTGGGGCCCCTTCATTCTATCTAGCCCAGGAGGGCCCTGTTGATAGAAAAAAAAAATGAAGGACTGCTGGATCATCTCAATTTCCCTGTGGGTCTGGGCCTCCCACCCTTCCCCATGAGCCAAGAACTCAGCACAGAAACCAAAATAATAGTTTTATTCCAATCTTGCACCACTATATTCCAGACAGTTCCCCTTCCCCACTGGTGAGCCTCCAGCCCATCCCACCAGACTCCCAGTGCCCCCTCTCGTTCTGCCTCTTCCGGGAATGAACAACCTGAAGGCAAAGGGGACCCAAGACTCCAGGCCTTACAGAAATACCAAAATCACTCCCCTCTCATTTCTTCCTTCCCCATCACCTGTACCTTTCCTTTGTCAGCTGCTTTTTCTTTCCCTCTCCACCATTCTTGTCTCTTTCTCCCCTCCCTGGCCCCCCTCTCCTCTCCTGCCTTCCTCTGCCTGCCCCCATTTCTTCCCTATTTCTGCCTCTTTTCTTGTCCTCTCTCCTCCATGTGTGTCGCCCCTTTGTCCTTCCACCCCTTACCATCTCCTTCATTACCCCTTGCTATTTCCCACCTCTGCCAGGCTGTCCCCTCATCCTGGTGTCCTCCCCTCCCCCACGTTTATCCCCTTCTTCCTCCTGCCCTGGGCTGACCTGTCTACGTCCCTTATCACGCATTTCCTCTCCTGAGGCAAGCCCTTGGGATCCACCCTGGCCACCACCATCTCCCACAGCTGCGGCTCCAGGACCTCAGAGACCACACCGTCGGCTTCCCCTTGGACCCAGAGAGGCAAACTGCCAAGATGAGGTCCCTGGATGACACAGGGGATGGCCGGGGGGGCTGGGGTGGCCTCCTTGGCATCAGCCCTGTTATCTTTGGGATCGAAGAATGCCCTCCCGCCCTCACAGTGGAGGGTGACGGGCGGGGGCCGGGAGACTCAGGGCTCCGGGGCTCTCCCCCAGCAATCCCTGAGCAGGTCCATGTGGAATAAGGCCGCCCCGGTGAGGAGGCGCGCGGCGAAGAGGTGGCGGCAGGGCAGGCGGCGGGCGGCGTGGATGGAGCAGCTGCAGCGTGTCAGGGCTCCATCCAGGAAGAAGTCCGAGGTGCCGTCCTTCAGGGCAAAGCCGGCTCCCATCCAGTGGAAACCACGGGTCCCGTGCTGCCGGGCGAAGGCCAGCTCTTCCGCCACCAGGTCGGCCAGCTCTGGTCCGCAGGCTGCTCGGAACTTGGCCAGGGGCTCCCAGTCCACCTCCTCCTCTCCCGAGGGGCAGCAAGGCCTCTTTGGTTCCCTTGGGCCTTCTTCTCCACTTCCTTCCTGCAGGCTCTCCCCAGCTGCCAAGTCCATCCTCCTTATCCTTGCCCATTCTGGGTCGCCCTCAAACACAGTCCCCATAGGGGTGCCGCTGGGGACTCCATTCCCCAGCCCTAGACACCTCCCTCCAGTGTCTCCACACTCCGCCCCCTGCATTCCTCTGCTTTGGGGGCCCCCAGACCGGGCACACTCTCCATCTCCATTCTGCAGGCCTGTCCCCCTCGGGTCCCCCAGCTGGACCAGAACTACATCCCCCAGGTCCCTCCTTCTTTTAACACCCAACCTCACTCCTCTCTCTTCTCTGGTCTCTGGCCCTTTCTGCCTCCCATCTCCCCACTGGGGCCCCCTTTGGTCTCCGTTCTCAGGGGCTAATTCCACCGGCTTCTCCATATGGCTCCCCCTCCAGTTTTGGACCTCCAGCCCCCTTCCTTTCTCCGCTTCCCACTGAGGCCCCTTCCAGTCTCTGGCTTTCAGTCCACTCGCCCTCTCATCTTGCAACCGGGCCCGGCTCCAGGTGTTCCCGTCCAGACTCCCGGCCCTCTCATAATCAAGCGGGGTCCCCCTCCCGTCTGCAGTCTCCAGCACCCTAACCCTTCGGTCCTCCAACTGGGCCACCCTCCGAGTGTACCCGTCCAATCCTCTCAATCTCTGGGCCTCCAACGGGGCCCCCCTCCAAATATAACCTTCTAGTCCGCCATCTTTCTCACCCTCCAACGGACTCCCCCTCCAGTCTCTGATTTCGGGACCTCTCAAGTGCTCCTTCTCCAACTGGGACCCTCTCCAGACATTCCCTTCTAGACCTCTTGTCTTCTGGTTTTCCGACTGGAGCCCTCTCCAATCTCGAACTTGCAACCCCCTCCCCTTCTCGCTTTCTGCCTGAGCCCCTCCCCGGTCTCTGGGCTCCAGTCCTCTGATCCACT